TGGTTGCACTTACCTACATGCATGCAGGCAATACACACATAAAATAAAAATAACAAATAAAATATAAAAATAAAAATAAATAAAAATTAATATTAAGGAAAAAATCCCCCACAGACATGCCCACAGGCCAACCCAATCTAGACAACCTCTTGCTGAGACTCTTTCCAGACAGTTCTAGATTATATCAAGTTGATGATTAAAACTATCAGTTTCTTTTCTCTCTCTCTCTCTCTCTCTCTCTCTCGTGTTTTATTTTTGAGATAGGTTTTCACATTATAGCCTAGGCTAGCCTTCAACTCCCTATGTAGTCCAGGCTGTACCTGAAGCAACCAGACAGTTCTAGATTATATCAAGTTGATGATTAAAACTATCAGTTTCTTTTCTCTCTCTCTCTCTCTCTCTCTCTCTCTCGTGTTTTATTTTTGAGATAGGTTTTCACATTATAGCCTAGGCTAGCCTTCAACTCCCTATGTAGTCCAGGCTGTACCTGAAGCAATCCTTTTACTTCAGTCTCCTAAATTCTGAGATTAGAAGTGTGAGCCACCATGCCTGGCTTTTAGAACTGTGCAGTTAAAGGGAGCCTCTAAAAGTTCTGTGGGAAGAGAGGGATGGACAGGGAGAGGAGAGCAACACATTGAATTGGACCCCTCCTTGAATTGAAATCACACATTCTGGTACAAAGACTGTCAGGGACACGTGTGACAAAATTTATGTAACTGGTCATCAGAAAAGAGAGTTATTAAAGATCCTTTTGATCACAGGGTCCCGAATGATGGCTACACAGTCATGAGGTCCCTAGGAACATAATTTAGATCCACCCTAAAAAGGAGACCTTTAGTGGAAAGTATTATAGGTGGAGTGGAGGTGAGAGTCAACTCAAATTTCCACAATGGCAATTCAAAGTCCCCCTCCCCACTTCCCGATCTCCACAGAGCTACATCTTTTGACTGAGGAGAAGGCGAGACCCTCTTTAAGAGATGCCCACTCAGGTACTCTGTAAATCCTCCTTCAGCCTGGCATGGTGGTTCATGCCTACAATCCCAGCACTCACAGGATGAGGCAGGAGGGTTCCTGCAAGTTGGGGCCAGCCTGAGTTACATAATGGGCACAAGGCTAGCCAGGGTGACATGGGGAGACCTTGTCTCAAAGACCACAACCAAAACAGAAAACAGTCACTTTACTCATTTATCAGAGAGGCTGTGACTCTGCCAGTGTCTTAATTATTTCTCCTACTGCTGTGATAAAAATACCCTGACAAAAGCAACCTAAGGAGGATCCGTTTATTCTGGCCCTCGGTTCCGGGGTACAGTCCACCACGGCAGGGAATGAAGAAGGCAGGAGTGTGAGGCGGCTGCTCACATCTCTCTGTAGTCAGGAAGCAGAGAGCGCTAAGTGCTGTTCAGCCCGCTTTCACCTTTTTTGGGTGGGGGTTAACATTTATTTTGGGGGGGATGGTGCATGGGGCAGAGTGCACATGTGGGGGGGTCAGAGGAACAGTGTGGGGGTCGGAGGGACAGTGTGGGGGTCAGAGGGACAGTGGGGGGGTTGGAGGGACAGTGTGGGGGTTGGAGGGACAGTGTGGGGGTCGGAGGGACATTGTGGGGGTTGGAGGGACAGTGTGGGGGTTGGAGGGACAGTGTGGGGGTGTCAGTTTTTCCCTTCTACCATTTAGGTTTGGGGATCAAACTCTGGACATCAGGTTTGGTAGCAAGAATCCTCACCCTTCAGTTTCTCCTTTTCATACAGTCCAAGGTGCCAATCCAGGGTATCTCAACCTAGTTAAGAAACTTCTTCCTGTGTAGAGGCTAACCTGACCTAGGTAATCCCTCACAGGTGTGACTGGAGACGTGCCCCCTGGGTGGTTCTGTCCTGTCAAGTCCACAATCAATATTAGTCTTCGCAGGAAGGGGGAAACTTGGGACCCCATGAGTCTCAGGCCTGGGCTGTCTGGAAGTTCCTACTGAACTTCCCTTAGATCCAGTTCCACGTTCAGCTGCAGCTGAGCTGGACAGTTCCCTGTATCAGTAGCAAGTCTGTTCCAGTCTGTTCCACAGGGCCTGCCTGCACCCAGAAACCACCCAGAAGTAGGGTGGGGGTGTTCCATGAGGCCATCTTAAAATTTTTTTTATTTATTATTTTTATTTTATGTGTGTAAGTGCACCCATGTCATGCAATGCCTGCAGAAGTCAGAAGATGTTGGATCCCCTGGAGCTGGAGTTACGGACAGTTAGCCACCATTATAGGTACTGGGACTCAAACCTGGGTCCTCTGCAAGAGCAGCTGGTGCTCTTAACCTCTGAGCCATCTCTCCAGCCCAATCTTCTTTTTTATTTTTTTGAGACAGGGTTTTGCCATGTAGACCTGGCTAACCTGGAATTCTCTATGTAGGCCATGCTGGCCTTAAACTCGCAGAGCTCTACCTGCCTCTGCCTCTGTGTCTCCTGAGTGCTGGAGTTACAGGTGTGTGCCACCACACTTGGCTAAACTGAAGTGCCCTGTGATGGCTAACCTTGGTTTCCAACTCGACTGGATCAGGAACCAAGTAAAAGGCAAGCTGGGCTCCTGTAAGGGGATTTCTCAGTCAGACTATTTGAACAGAGATGCACCTAAATGTGGGTGGTACCTTCTGGTGGCAGCCCTAAAAGCACATGAAAGAAAGACGCTTGCTGTGGTACGCGTGCCCCCCCCCCCGTGCATGTGCATACAAGATATATAAATAAAAATGGGCTGGGCAGATGCCTTTAATTCCCCCACTGGGGAGGAAGAAGCAGGCAGATATTCATGAGTTTGAGGCCAGCCTGGTCTACATAGTGAGTTTCAGGTCAGCCAGGGCTACACTTTGGAGAACACAGCACAGCACTTACCATGTGGATTGGGAAAATTTCTTTGACTCATTTCCCCAAGGTAATGAAGCTGTTTGTTTGAAGGGACTCACGGGGCGGGGGGGCTCTTCAACAAGCCCAAGTTGCAGCAAGCTGCCTAGCTAGTCATCATGAGCAGAGCAGGCAGATCAAAACCCAGAATGAGATCACCAGCACACAGTGGCCACACAGAGCGAGCTCCGAGGGCGAGGCTGTGCCTGCTCCTCCTCGAGGGCTTCCAAAGCCCCCTTCCTGTCCTGTGCCTTCTCTCAAGAAGGGAGGTGGCTTCCAGGGGAGGCATGCTAGGCTATTTCTGATGCGCTTTGCAGGGCCGTTCCTCACGGCCTCGTGGCCTCTTTGTCAGTGCCTTAGAGTTGAAGCCCAGCAGGGAATTGCAGCATTTTACCAGGGGACTGCCCTCAGTCCCTGGTGCCTCCTGCTTAGGGTTTACTGATTTGGGTTGTAGAGGCTAAACTGCCCCTTGCTGGCTGCCTGTTTTATCTCTGGAGACACCATGCTTTGCCTCAACACTCAAGGGTCGAGCATGCTGGGCCACACCTCGATTCTTCTGGCTCCAACTGTGAGCTCCAGCTCCTGTTCTCCCAATGTCCTGTCTGGCCTTTGCTGCTGAGCACTACATCATGTGCATGGATGCCTGTGGCCCTCATCATTCCTGACTTCAGGGGGCATCCACCCCTGAACTCTCTGTCAGTTCATTCTGAATAGTCCCTGTGAGGAAGACGTTCCCTGGCACTGAAACAGCCCTCTGAACCTCTAACTTTACCTACTACACATCTGTCCTAGTTACTTTCTATTGCTCCTCCTCCTCCTTCCTCCTCCTTCCTCCTCTTCCTCCTCCTTCCTCCCTCCTCCTCTTCCTTCTCCTCCTCTTCTTCCTCCTTCCTCCTTCTCCTTCCTCCTCCTTCTCCTCCTCCTCCTTCCTCCCTCCTCTTCTTCCTCCTCCTCTTCCTCCTCCTCCTTCCTCCTCCTTCCTCCCTCCTCCTCTTCCTCCTCCTCTTCTTCCTCCTCCTTCCTCCCTCCTCCTCTTCTTCCTCCTTCCTCCTCCCTCCTTCCTCCTCCTTCCTCCCTCTTCCTCTTCTTCCTCCTCCTCCTTTCTCTTCCTCCTCCTCTTCTTCCTCCTCCTTTTCTCCCCCCTTCCTTCTCCTTCCCTTATTTTTTGCAGTGTTGGAAATTGAACCCAGGGCATTGCACATGCTAGGCAAGTTCTCTACCACTGAGCTACACCTCCAAACTCTCTTCCTTCTCAAAAAAGATTTTATTTTTAAATAACCTGTATGTGTGTTGGGTGTGTACAGGTGCCACTGGGGAGGGGGAGCAGAAGAGAGCATTTGATCCCCTGGAGCAGAGGTTACAGGCAATAGTGAGCCACCTGACACAGGTGCTGGGAACCAAACTCAAGTCCTCTGCAGGAGCACTGTGGTCTGAACTGCTGACCCTCTCCTTAGCCCCTGGTCCTCTTCTTCTATACAAGTTGGGTGTGGTAGCCAGGCATGGTGGCACATGCTTTTAATCCCAGCACTGGGGAGGCAGAGGCAGGCAGATCTCTGTGCATTCAAGGCCAGCCTGGCCTACGTAGCTAGTTCCAGGACAGCAGCTGGGGGCTACAGGGAGACCCCATCTCAAAAAGACAAAAACAAAGACAAAATAAATAAACAAGTTGGGTGTGGTAGCTCACACCTTTAATCCCAGCACTTGAGAGGCAGAGGCAGGCGTATCTCTGTGAGTTCAAGGCCAGCCTGGTCTACATAGTGAGTTCCAGGCAAGCTGGGGCTGCAGGGAGACCATCTCAAAAAGACCACAAAATAAAAAAAAAAATAAGGACACTTATGCATCAAGAGGACCGAACTCTCATGACCTCATCCAGTCCTACTCATGCCGGGAGGCCCCACCTCCAAACACCACCAGCATAGGAATTTGGGCATGAAGTGTTCGATGCATCAGCTCAGGGAGATGTGTTTGGTCCATGCACTGTCTACTCTGGTAAGCCTGCTTTGTGCAGACTTCTGACTCCTTTTCTGATCCCTCCCATTTGCAAACAGCTCAGGATTTCCCTGGCTGACTGACCATCACTTTCTCCAACATGTTTGCTGCTCTGTGGACCCTCTGTCCTCTTTCCAGGAAAGTGAGTCCTGTGTCCTGACAGTGCCTCAAGTCAGTGGATTCTTCTTTGTTCAGTCGTGTACTCCGGCCTCTTTCGAACATCTGCAAAATCGAATCCCGAGCCCTCTCCACTCCTGCTGCTAGACAACCCATGCAGTGCCCCCAGCATCTGGTCTGTTTTCTCCCTTCTCCTTCATCTAGGTAAGCTGGGCTCTGAGCCTTGTGATTTCAGGGCTGGGGCAG